GTTTGGGTTGAACCGAGCATCTGTTGGATGGGTACGAAATGCTCCGATTGAGCCAGCCTCTGTTTGATTGGAAAGATATGTTCGGGTTGGACCGAGACTCTTTCGGAATGGTACGATCTGTTCGGGTTGGACAGGGCTTCTGTCGGGTTGGTACGGTATGTTTGGGTTGGGCCGTGGTACCATATGTTTAGGTTAGACCGAGCCTCCGTTGGATTTATGCGATACGTTCGGGTCAGTTCGGGTCCGACCTGAACATATCGTAGCAATCGTTTCCCGAGCGCCATGGCCAGAAAACGCCCGACACGGAGCTTGTGCTAAAAGATGTCCGAGCGTGCGCAATACCGTTGCGTGGCCGACGCGCAAATGGCCGATTCCGGTAACCCTGAACCCAATGTCACTCGAGGGCGCGTCTCTTACCTTCGCCAACTTCCGCCGGCCTTCCGCCAGCTTCCGCCGCTGGAGGCGGCCTCATTTTACTTACGCCGCCTTGCGCCATCTTCCGCCGAGGATAGAAATGCAACTCCTTCGATCCTCGCAGGCGAGGCCATTTCTGGAACGCCCCAAATGCTCTGGAGGCCCGACCAAGAAACCTTCCACAAGAAACCCAACCCAGAGACCCCAGGACGTCCATTGCTTTTTGGTGTGGGAACGTCACGCCTTCCATCGCAGAACCAGCGAAACACAGGGCACCCTGGAGGCAAGCAGAGTATTTCCTGGCATGGGCCCCCACTGTATGTTTGGGTGGTGCCGAAATGAAGGGGCCCAGGGACACACAAACAAGTCCACACAAATCCCAGCACCCCCCATATTGTCGCACATGTTCTGTGCTTGTGCCCCCCCCCACTTCCCGTATTTCCCCGCATTTTTCTGGGGATCGACGCTTCATTGTGTCTGTGTGCTTCTCCTGGGGAGCCCACAAAGGACGTACGCGCCCAGCTATGTACATGAACACGGCCCCTCGATGCGCGAGACCGGCCGCGTGATACGACCATTTGCGCAATGCGAACTCTCGAAACCAGCGTAGATTCATGTGCATGTACGTTCTTTTTTCGCTCCTGATCTCCCCTCCCCACGAAAGCCTCCCAGCTGCTGCCTGCTGGGCGCCACGGGCGCGCCCGGCGCAGCGGCGCCCGGCGCGGCGGCCCGAGGCCAGCCGGCGGCCGGGTCGGCCAGAGCCCCGGCGGCCCGAGCGAGGCGGGCCTGCTGCATGGGATGACCGCGGGGGGTGCCAATGGGAGGAGGAGGAGGAGGAGGAGGAGGAGGAGGAGGAGGAGGAGGAGGAGGAGGAGAAGGGGGGCTGCCAGGGCCCTCGCAGTTGCGGTTAAGAGAGAGGGGGCGGCGGGGTCGTCGGCAGTCTGCGAGGCTCTGAAGAAGCCCGCTGCAGGCAACGACTGATTCATATTGCACAAGAAGCCCGCCGCAGGCGCCGAATGTTCGTCAAAGCAATTGGGTCGGGCCCCTGGTGTGTCTCGGATGAGGCGCGGGGTGGGTGGGTCGCGGGGTGGGTCGCGGGCGAAGACGACGACAACAACAACGCATCAACATCCAGCATAATCCGCACCGCGGAACCCTACTTCAGCCACGCGCCCAGGATTAGCGAATGACCGTTCGGCCCCCTCACTCTGATAAGTGGACGCTGCGGTGGGGTGTACCTGGCCTAAGCTAACTTATCCGAGTGAGTGGGCCGACCGGTCATTCACTGTCCCTGGGCGCGTGGCTGAAGTGGGGTTCCGCGGTGCAGAGAGTTGTTGCGATACTGTTGTGGTCGGCATCCTTGCCCGCGGTCCACCCCCGACCCACCCGCGACTCACCCGCGACCCACCCCACGCCCGCCCCCTCACTCTTTTCGCAACTGCGGGGTGCTACGTAAGTGGGCTACACCTGCCCTAATTGGCATGGCTGTTTTCAATAACTCCGCTAAGTGGGCGGAACCCACTTCATCAGGACTCCAGATCTGAAGCCTCTTAGGGCAGTTCTGACCCACTTCGAAGCTACGTTACAACAGATGTAACACACCGTCACGTCCACGTATAACCTCCCAATCCCCTCAGAGATCCCCGCGGTTATCCTGGCATGGGGTGGACACACAAGCACGGATAGCGCTGCACCACGGACCCACACATCCAGCGTCCTGAAAGAATCGAGGCGGAAGTTGTTCGTCGCCTTCGCCCTCTCCGGGCCCTTACCAGGCCTCGGAGCGGCCGTGGGGAGCTGGAGGGTATCTGGGCGGATGTCCCAGGCATCGAGAACTTGGAAAGGAAGTTTGTGGAATTCGCGCGCCTCGAAAGAATCGAGACGAAAATTCCTTCGCTGTCGGCCTCGCTCTCCCGGCCCTTACCGGGCCTCGGGACCGTCAAACAACGGCTCGGGATGGAAAACACCGGCCCCAGGAAAGAGGCCAAGAGGTCGGAGAGGCCCGCGTCTTGACAGAATCTGAACGCCAGATGTCTCGGGATTCGGCAGGGAGGAGGAGGAGGAGGAGGAGGAGGAGGAGGAGGAGGACGAGGAGGAGGAGGAGGAGGAGAAAGAGGAGAAGGAGGAGGAGGAGGAGGAGGAGGGGGGAAGGAGGAGGAGAGGGAGGAGAAGGAGAAGGGATAAGCAAAAGGGGACCCTAATCAGATCTGGGCGCTGCATGTGTTTTCACCCGGCGCTGGGGCCACCACCGCTGCTCCACGGACCTCTCCCGCGGTGCGCCCTGCCCAGGACTTCGAGGCGAAAACCCAGCCGTGGCGACGAGGGCCTCCCAAGAGGCCCACGAAGGCGAACCAGGGCAAAATTGCGGGGTCCCCAGACCCCCCGACATCGTGATCTGTTCACAGCGTCGGCCCCCAGAGGTCTCGACCAATTCCCAGGCACGGGCTCTTCGTCCTGAGAGCTGCTTTTGGACGGTCCCGAGGCCCGCTGAGGGCCCCAGAGGCGCACAAAATGGCGGAGAAATGCCCGTCGCTATTTTTTCACGACTCTTCAGGGTTTTCGGTACTCGGCTACGCGCAAGAGTGGCCCTCGGTAAGGGTGACTTTTGGTGCGCGGCTTTTGGGAGGCCGCGGGGAGCCGAACCCAAGCGCGCAGGCCGCTGCTATCGCATCGCACTCGGCGACCGGGGGAGCCCAATGGGCCCGCACCAAAGGTCACTCCAGCGAAAGGTCTCCGTTTCGTGGGACGCACAGAGACATACTAATACTAGATGTCCTCCTTCGAGGCGCGCCTCCGGCCCGAACATACAGTATACCCATCTTGTAGTAGATCGTTTCCCGAGCGGCGTGGCCAAAAAGCGCCCGCCACGACGCATATAAATATGAGATTTCTCGCTGCGCGCGTCGCCCCTGGGGGGGGGGGGGGCACGCACACATAGTACTAATGTTAGGGTGACGCCGACCACGTGTAGCCGAGGTACGTAGCGGTATCGGTGCCTTTCCCCCCTCCTCCGAGGGCCCGGCCAGGGGATCGCAGACAGGGCTGAACATGAACGGAGTTTTTCGGTTTCGTTTTGTTGCTCGTTCTTCCTTGTGTTGTCTTCCCTTCGCCCTCGAGATGACCAAAACACCGTTTAGGTCCAGCCCTGATCAGAGGGGCCCAATGGGCCCGCACCAAGTTCACTTCGCGGCGAAAGGTCCCTCTTACGTGTAGTCGAGGTACGTAGCGTTAGGTCGGGCATGTCCTCCGACAGGCGGATCTTGGACGAAGCATTAAAAAGAGTCAACAATACGCAATACTTGTCAAAGAAAAACAGAATCGCCCCCATATTGTTTTTTGGGTGACTATTTTGAACATTTCTCCTGTAGAAGGGACAGGCCCGACTTCAACGTAGGAGCATTGGTACATTTCCCCCCCTCTTGAGGGGGCCTGGCCCGCCGCGGGCTGCCCGCCCGCGTCCGCCGCGGGCTGCCAGGCCTGAGGAGCAGTGAGAGAGGGGGGGGCTGGCGCCGGGGGGGGGGGGGGCGGACATCGAGCTAAAATCGGCGATACAGTAAAAGCCCGACCACAAGACACCTACCACAAGAAACCCGACCCTGAGACCCCAGGGCGTCCTTTGATTTTTGTTGTGCGAGAACGTCACGCCTTCCATCGCAAAACCATTGGAACTCAAGACACCCAAGGCACCCTGGAGGCAAGCAGGGTGTTTCCTGGCATGGGCCCCCACTGCACGTCGCCGATATTACATCGCCGAGAAATCTGCGATTGCAGAAGAAGAAAAGTACGCCATAAACTTAGGCTTGTGGCGTTCTGCGCGGATTTCTTGGATCTGCGCTGGGCCCCTCTCCGTGGCGCGCGGAGCGCGCCACGGGCGGCGGGGCGCCGCCAGGGGGGGCCCATGGCAGATCCAAGAAGTCCGCGCGGCGCGCCAAAAGCTTATGCTGACGCCGTTTTTGCTTCTTCGACATAGGCCCCCGATAGCGAATCCGCACGTTCCTGGGCGTTGTGGGCTGGTATCGGGGCGCCTACCGGCGAGGAGTGGGCGATTGGGGGCCGATGCGTCCCCCCCATGAGCGCACCTCCCCCCAACGCTGCCCCATTGGCTCTCGCGTCATACATCAGCTCTTTGGCGGCCGTTCGGGACGACCCGGGCGCGCCCGGAACGCCGTCGGCGAGGCGCAGCTGCTGGAGAGCACCCCGCGGCTGAAAAACTGGCGCGATCAACGCAAACGCCCGCCCGGCGAGGGCCCCCAGAGGCCGAACGTACAGAGATAACGATCCGTCGGGCTTCCTCGCGACGCCCTTTGGTCTGGGAGCAGATCCCCCTGAGCCTGTCCCCCTCTGACTTGGCGGCGCGCAGAAAGGGGGCAGGGGGACGGGGGGGAGGCTTCTTAGAGGCACTGTGCTCCTTGGAGGGCCCCGGCCTGACGTCTACGGAGGAGGCCGGCGCCTTCTGGAAGAAGCAGGGGTGCTTCTGAGAAGCCTCCCCCCCCCCTCCCCCATACCCCCCTCTGCGCGTGGCCGACTCACGCTGCCCCTGACCGCCGCGGGCTGCCCGGCAGCGCCCCGCGCGCCGAACGCGCCGGGCGGCGGGCCCGCCGCCACGGGCGGCGCACAGGCCGCTGGGCCGCCAGCGGCGCCGGGGGGCCTGGCCGGCAGCGGGCCGCCCAGAACCGCGGGCCCTGGTGCACGCGGCCCGGCGTCTGGCCGAGCCTGGGCAGACACGCAGACGATGATGATGATGATGATGATGATGACGATGATGATGATGATGATGATGATGCTGATGATGATGATGCTGATGATGATGATGACGATGATATGATGAAGATGATGATGATGATGATGATGATGATGATGACGATGATGTGCTGATGATTTGATGACGTTTTGACCTAGATGCTGGTGAAGATGAATATGCTGATGATGCTGATACGGATGATGATGGCGATGCTGATAATGAGGATGATGTAATTGATTATGATGGTGATGGTTATGGTGACCATGGTGGTGATGTTGTTGATGCGTGTGATGATTATGATGAGGACGATGGTGATGCTGGCGGCGATGTGTTCGAGGATGTTCTGCTGATGTGTGACGAAAACGAATGATGGGTTCGATGGTGTGTCGACGAACTCTTGATGACGGTGCTGTGTTGGTGGGTAATCATGTGTTGATGAATGTGAATGATGTTAGAATGTGATGGTATGATAGTTCGAATGTGATGTTATGTTCGACGATGTCCTGATGATAGTTTGATGATGATGTGTTGGCGTTTCGAACATGCGTTGTCGATGATGGTCATGTGGTCATGTACTGGTGATGCTTTGGTGATGGGAATGATGCGTTCGATGATGGTTGATGGAGAGTTGTCGAAACGGATGTGTTAGTGCTGATGATGGTTCCATGATGCGGATGTGGTCGATTATGTGTTGATGGTGTCTTGATGCTGGTGGTGTGTTCCATGATGTGGTGTAAACGCTGTGGTTCTGGGTTGGTGGTTTACTGTTGACGATGGTGATGCTGTTGATGTGGATGTGATGTATTGATGCTGGTGAAACGGATGTGTTGGTGACGGTGATTGTGACCAGATGGTTTGATGCTGACGGTTTGGGCGATGAAGACTGTGCGTGATGATGTATGTACAGTTGATGTTAATGGTGAGGTGTTTGATGCTGGTTCGATACAATGCACCCGATGATGACGATGGTGAGGATATGCTTGATGTTGTTGATGGTTTGATGTTGGTGGTGATGATGAGGAGGATGGGGATGATGACGATGATGGTGTGCTTGACGACGTATTGAAGCTGAGTTGTTGATGATGATGCTGATGATGGTGCTGATGAAGATGAGAGAGCGTGATCCACTGCCGCTTTACTGTGGAAAATTGCCGCCCTTTTCTTCCGGAACCCGGGGGTCCCCCCCCCCCCCTCCGAAATCCCCCCCCCCCCCTGCTGGAACCCTCCCCCCCCCCCCCTTGCCCCGGGCAAAACCCCCCCCCCTCCCCTACCCCCCCCCCCTCGAGCTCGAAAACCGGGGGGGGTCACTACCGGTTCGAACCCCCCCCCCCCCTCGAAAACCGGAGGGGGGGGTCACTACCGGTTCGAACCACTGAGCTGTCCCACTGTTCCCACCACTGTCCCCACTGTCCCTACCACTGTCCCCACTGCACCTCTGTCCCATTGTCCCACCGCCGTCCTCGCCACCGCCTTCACCACTGTCCCCACCACCACTGCACCCTCCACTGTCCTACTGTTTCCACCACATTCCCACTGTCCCCACACCAGTCCCCACCACCACCGTCCCCACCACTGTCCCACTGTCCCCACTGTTCTCCCCATTGTCCTCACCATTGTCCCCACCACTACCGTCCCCACCACTGTCCCACTGTCCCCACCACTGTCCCGCTGTCCCCTCACCACTGTCCCCACCACCACCGTCCCCACCACTGTCCGCACCCCCCCTCGGTTTTCGAGGGGGGGGGGTTCGAACCGGTAGTGACCCCCCCCGGTTTTCGTGCTCGCGGGGGGGGGGGTATCGAACGGGTAGTGACCCCCCCCCCCTTTTCATGATGAACTGAGGGGGGGGAGGGATCCGAACCGGTAGTGACCCCCCCCCGGTTTTCCGCTAGCAGCGGTAGAGCACACTCTTTCTGATGTCAGGATCCATAATGGGAATTGGGACTCGGGGTCAGCGCCTCCCTGATGGCCAGCTTGCGCTTGGCTATCGCTCGCGCCCTCGCCCGCATCAAAACTTCCACCCTGCTGGAGTTGTTGGCCAGAGGGGACAGAGAGCGAACGGCATTGTACGTAGTGAGAAGGAGGTCATGCATCAGAACGGCACCGTGCAGGGCTCTACTGGAGATTCTCGCGCGCGCAATCCCTGCCCTCCTGTAGCTGCCACTGCCCGTCTTTCTCGCGCGCATTGGCCCTGCCCTCTCGAAGCCGCCACTGCCTGTCCTTCTCGCACGGCTGCCACTGCCCGTGCTTTTCGCACCATATTCCTGGAAGCTGCCGCTGTCCGTCCTTCTCGCACGCAGGGCCAGTTCTCTCTTGAATCTGCCACTGCCCGTCTTTCTCGCATGTCTCGTGCACGCCCTCTTGAAGCTGCCGCTGCCCGTTCTTCTCGCGTGCGCAGTCCTTTTGCTCCTGCGGCTGCCACTGCTCGTCCTTCTCGCGCGTCTCACTCTGTCGCCCCTCCACTTGGCCCCCCGCCCCCTCGCAGATCTGTGTCCAAGGCAGGCCCTGCCAGGGCTGGAACCGGGGCGCCCAGTCCAGCTCCACCTGACGGCACGTGGCCAAACGGAGCCTGCGGTGGGCGCGTCTGCAGCGTCTGCTGACCGCGGCCTTGGGGGGCGCCACTTCTCCGCTGAGGGGCCCACGCCACGGCTCGGCTTGAAGCGCCCTCGCGCGCATTCGCACGGCATCGGGGCTGGGGGCGTCATCTGCGCGGGTCGTTCGCGAGGCCGCGCTGCTGAGCCACCTCGGAGGAGGAGGAGGAGGAGGAGGAGGAGGAAGAGGAGGAGGAGGAGGAGGAGGAGGAGGAAGAGGAGGAGGAGGAAGGGGAAGCGGCGGCACGCCCCGCTCCCGCCCGTCCCATCCCTCAAGCGACGACGCAGACGTCGACGACCTGCGATGCCTGCGCGCCGGCGCTCGCTGCAGAGCGTCATCGCCACAGTTCTGCGCAGCGGGGGCTCCGTCTCGCCTGCGCTGAGCCTGCCCGGCATCGCCGTCGACGCGTTCCAAAACGATTGGTTGCGAACCGTGGACCAGGGGGTCGGGGCAGACTTCGTAGGCGAGCTCCTGCGGCGCGTCCAACTGAAGCTCGCTGGGCGCACAGAGAGGAGCGACGCGATGTGGGCGCTCATCCAGGCGGACTGCGACGCCGACGATATGCCCGACAGATTGCATGCCGTCAGCGAACGCACAGTGAAAGCCAAGAAGGCGTGCCGACAATTTCGCGGCCAGGCGGCAATTCTGCGGCATCGGATCGCCCTGTTGCAAGAAAGCTGCTGGAAACTATTGCGTCTCTGGGAGCGCCGTGGACGACGCCGCGCTGAACGCGATGCGTCACTTGCACACCTGCTACCACGCGTTGAGTGGCGGCGGCGTCTTCAGACGCGATTTGCCGCGCGATTCCGCCAGCAGGCTCGCGATCCGATTCGCCGCCCTCCAACGAATGCAGCCGAGGAGCTGGCGCGTGAAACCGAAGGCGCACCTGCTCCTCGAGGTGGCCTTCGCGGGGGGGGGCAGCCGTCGCTGTGCTGGACCTACAGGGACGAGGACCTCAGGGGCAGCGTGGGGCACGCTGCGAAGAGGCGCGGCTCCATGCTCACGGCAGCGGGCTTCTCCCGAGCGGTCATCGCGCGCACCCGCATGCAGCCGATGGCGCGGCTGATGTGACGTCCGCGGCCGCGCGGGCAGAAAAAAACGCGGGGGGCGCGCCGCGGTGTAGGTGCAAAGAGGAAACGGCGCCTCCTGCTTCAACGGAGTGCGCCCTCTGCTTTGGGAAGCCGCGCCTCCTTCTTAGAATGCTGTGACGTTGATGACGACGATGCACCTACCGACAATGATCGTCCTTAACGACTTAAGGCGATCGCCTCAAACTTCGTGCCTGACATTAACTGCCGGGCCTTAATTACGGCTGGGCGCGATTTAGAGCCAGATCGATGTTCATGGAGCCCCCGCCAGGCCCTGGGACCGTCGAAAAGCGACTCTTCGAATCTCGCATCGCTAGCGAGAGCTCCACAACTCTCTGATGTCCTTTTTTTTGCGGGGGGGGACCCTCGTCGGTCGTCGTCGTCGTCGTCATCGTCCGTTCCTACACGCATCGGGAGCGCCCGGGATCGGCGGCACTGGCCGGAGGCCATTACAATCTCGCATCGCTCGCGAGAGCTCCACAACTCTCTGATGCCATTTTTTTTTGCGGGGGGGGGACCCTCTCGACACCGTGGACGTGGCGCCGCGGCTGGCTTTCTGTGGGCCCTCGCCCGAAGTGGACCCCGTTGCAGAGACCTGGCCTCGGCAACGATGGCGGCCCGGATTTTTTCTGGGCGTTGGATGCCTTCCTCCTCCTCCTCCTCCTCCTCCTCCTCCTCCTTCTCCTCCTCCTCCTCTGGGCCCGCGGGCTGGAAGTCAGGACGATCCCGGCGCAGCTGCTGGAGAAATGCCCTCAGGGCCCGGAGTCCGAAATGGGTACGGAAAGAATGGGTACAATGCCCAACAACAAATGTTGTCCCAAACCAACAGCGGCCGCTGTTGGGCGGGCGGCGTTCTGTCTCGAATGGACACAGGCCGCGGCGGCGCGGACAGCGAGTCCTGTTCAAAATGAACAGGAACTGCTGTTGGGCATTGTACCGATTCTTTCCGTACCCATTTCGGGCGTCCAGAGCCTGGGCCCGCGGGCTGGAAGTCGGGACGATCCCGGCGCAGCTGGTGGAGAAATGCCCTCAGGGTCTGGAGCCCTCCGACGGTCCCCACCGAGCCAAGCACCTTCGAATAACGTTGAAAACGCCCTCGAAAACCTCCAAGCTCGACGACCGCAAGCAAAGAGCAAATGCTGGCAGTTGCCGCCCGCAGCGCCGC